ATCACGAAACGGATGTTGTGACTCTTCGTCCGAAAGGGAGCGATATTTGATCTTTGACGTGCGCACTTTCTTTGTTATCAAGCCATGGTAACCAACTCTCCCACTTACACGCTTCGTAATGGATTTCACTATGGCTGACCTTTCGTAGAGTTCAAGAGTTTCCTTAACTTACAATTCATCCGTTTTGTCTAGAAGCTAGAAACAAACTTGCCATTTTTAAACTCTGAAAATTGGCTCTTAATGATATGATTTAATATTGATTGCAAGAGTTCGAGAAATATTGTTATCTATTGATGTTGAGGAAATGATGCGGAAACCTCAACAATGAGAGGCTTACTCGGACGTCTCAGTTAAGGTGTGGTATGTGGCTGCTGACGTCACATGATGTCAAAGAAATCGCGAGTTCTTATGTATTTAAGGGGTTGTGACTTGACCGAATCAACACTCTTCCAAGACATCGAACTACGGTAACTGAGGCAGAACTGCACATACTGAACAAATATTCAACTTGATTAAAATTTATAACGAGGACAATTGCAATCAGCGAGTATGGAAGCAAGAATGGCTATATTTTTTGCAGTAGCTATTACACTCGCAGGACTTGGTTTTATTGTTGGAAAGCCGATTAGACAACTTGAAGTTGAGCCTACACAAGAATCTCGGGCTACGGAATCTGAACTAGTGGTGAGTAATGATTCTTTTTCATTGTGTTATTGATTAAGAGCAGAACGAAGAGTTATGACAAAATTAAGAAACGCAGCAGTGGTGTGCGAATTTGCTCCAGGCGTTATAAGGAACCTTTTTTGAGTGTGGTTAGCCTAGAGATCAGCTGATGAAGGGGATAACGTAAACAATAAAAACTGCCAGAAACCTGCCCATTTCTATACTTCGGTTTTTTCTGGGGAAATTGTTTAAAGTGAAAAGCTTAAAATTGCACAATCGTTGCCTTTAATAATGCAGCATTCCTTGTAGCATTGATCCAGCTGTGTCAATGGCTTGCAAATGTACTCGATATTGTTTTCATAGAATACCTCCAAATTCCTCTTTCTTTCGAAGAATATTTACAATTTCGAGGCGAAGGATATTCAAGACGAATATTTTTCTTTTCTCGTCTTTTCTAGTAGCTCTTTTTTACATCGTGGGATCTACTACAATTCAGGAGATCAGTGGTGACCATGCAAGCATATCTAATGTCTTTCAGAAGCGCGCGTCTAATCACGGTGTTTGAAAGTGATGGGACTAATGCGTAAAAAATAAAAATAATAAAAAAGTGTCCTTCAACCTGTCAAAACATAGAAAGCTAACAATTTTAATCTTGGAAAATTCTTCGGTTATATCAATATCCGGAAAAGAGGTTAGGTCGTTCGTGACCACAGTGGATATGATGAGAGCATGCTATTGTCTCCACACCGTACAGGAAATTAATATCAGTTGTTGACTACTCGTCATTACAAGGCATAAAACACGCTTAAAACAGCATCGTAAAAAATAATTGGTCATTTTATGTTAATTTGCAGGATTATCTCATAAAATATGGCTATCTTAAACAACCGAATCACAGAATTGGAAACGCACTTTCGATGGAGGAATTACAAGCAGCCATCAAGAAATTGCAGCGAATTGCGGGTTTAAAAGAAACCGGCGATATCTCTGACCCCAAAACACTTGCTATGGTAAAGAAGCCAAGATGTGGAGTGCAGGACTTTGGTCCATCCGACATAGCGCGGAGAAAAAAGAGATACGCCCTTGAAGGAAGCTACTGGAGAAAAACTGTAAGTAAACCCTTTAGATATAACTTGCGCATGTTGTTGCCAGAAAAGAAGGAAATATGTCAGCAATATGAAAGAGAGAAGAAAAATAAAAATAAAAATCAGATGTGTAAACTAGAATTCGCCACTTTAGGAACGGGAATTCGAAGGCCGAGAGGGAGACTGGACCCAATTAACTTCCGCAAAGAAAGTATGGGACTAATACTGGGGACAGGGAAAAATTTGGCCAATAGCAAGAGAGAATGAAATCATTCTCTCTTGCTATCGGCCAATAGATGATCTGCACGTTCCAGTAACGATCCGAGAAACGATCCTGGGAACGAGGTTAGGTTAAACTGGGCATTATCCAAAAACAAGCAAAGACACAATCGGGTTCATTTTTGATGATTCGTTAGTAAATGAAAATTGCTTTGATTTTGCAGGATCTTACCTACAGAATTGAAAAATACTCAAATGATCCCGACCTCAAAAAGGAAGACGTGGACAAGACATTCGAGAAGGCGCTTGAAATGTGGTCCGGCGTCAGTGGACTGACATTCAAGCGAGAAAACGACCTCAAAGTTGAGCCTGACATCAGAGTCCTATTTGTAACTGGTTATCACAACGACTCCAGGCCAGCGGATGGCCCCGGAGGCGAGCTAGCACATGCGTTCTTCCCTGGCCCAGATAACACTGGCCTTGACGGTGATATACACTTGGATGATGACGAGAAATTTACTATCAATGGAGGCAATGGGGTGGACCTACTTTGGGTAATGGCTCATGAACTGGGGCACAGCCTTGGTCTGGACCACGCCTATCACCCTGACTCGGTAATGTTCGCCTTCTATACGGAACATATTCGCGACCTAAAGTTGGACAGTGACGATATTGAAGGAATCCGGAAAATATACGGTAAGTTGGATTATAATACTTTTGGCAGGAGCTGACGTTTGGCTCTTCTCTCTACGATTAGTATAAGGATTGTTTCCCTTGAATGGCACTTTGAACAAGCCATACAACACACATAAAAAAACGGTTGACATTTTTATAACATTATATGCTTGATAATTTTGCGAATGATGATCATCCCTGAGTAGAGAACAGTTGTGACGTGTCGAGTAGTCCAAACAGTCGTCAATCTAAACAGAAAAAAAGAGAAGAAAAACGTCTCTTTCAAGAGGATTTTCATCACTTATGAAAGTATGAAAGTCACTTCTTAAATCGCTATCGTTTGATCTACAGGGTTACCTGGAGTTGAAAGAGTTACTCCCTCCCCTCAGCCAACACCTAAGACATGCAGCAATGTCAAACCAGATGCAGTGGTTACAACAGCTGATAAGAGGACCTATATCTTCAGTGGTGCTCACTTCTGGGAAGTAAAAGATACCGGTGGCGCTGATGGTCCATTTGAGATCAAAGACTACTGGCGAGACTTAGAGGAAAATATTGACGCTGCCTATACAGTACAGGCCTTTGATCAGACTATATTTATCAAAGGAGACAGGTACGTCCTTTCAATTTTGTCCTAGCCCTTTAACTCCAAAGACTGCTGGACTAGCATGTCTTATTTCCTCAAAACATGACTTTTTTCAACAAACGTAAAGGTTCTTAGAATTTTCAGGGAAAAAAAGATTATATCAGTGAGAACAAAGGTCTGATATGTTAACAAATTATCCTTCTCATTACTTTAAAAATGTATGAGGAATGATGTAAAGAATTTTGGTACTGATATTAATAAGCTAGGAAGATAGACCTCTTCGCGTAAGAACCTTTAATTTGCTAAGACCTGCAAACCGGGGGGATACCTATACGGGGATTAACTGCTGGTATGGTTTTTTTACCTCTCTGCCCTAAACAGGGTAATTTTGTATACGTTTTCCCCTATACACCCAAATATTGGTCGATTACCCCTCAGGCTGCAATTCGGCATACTGCTCCTTTGTTCCAGCCGATTTTTCCCTCTAAAATTTTGCTTAAGTCAAGAGTGGAGATTGACCTTGCTTTGCTCATTAAGTTCTCTGTATTATCTTCTAGGTTCTGGGTTTTCAAGAACAAAGATTTGTTTTATGGCCCGGCTAACATCCAACAACTTGGCTTGACGGAGGAACTCGCTTATATGGATGCTGCACTCGAGTGGAAACGAAATGGTAAAATATACTTCTTCAAGGGATCTAAGTACTGGCGCTACGATAGAACCCGGAGCAAGCTCGACGACGGATATCCGAGGGACATTTCCGTTTGGAAAGGAATTCCGAACAATATCAACGCCGGCTTTCAGTGGAAGAACGGCAGAACTTATTTCTTTAAGGATGACAAGTATTATGCATTTGATGATTATCTCGTTAAAGTGTTGGAAGACAGTAACAATCCTTACCCGCGAGATGTAGCTTCTTATTGGATGGGGTGTACTAACCCAGAGGTCAACATTGACCCGGCTGTTGGAGCAGCTTACGGAGTCCTATCAAATGTAATCGTCTTAATCACATGTTTCCTCGTCACATGGTTGTTTTAAAAATGACTGCTAAGCAAAACGAACCTTTAAACTAAAAGGGTTTTAAAGAATATTGAACACTTGTATAAAAGTTCGGATAAATTATAAGCGATTTCATGTACAGACAACTCAGCTTCAGATTGTAATAATTTATCTTTATTTAAATATTATTTATTGAGATGTACATATATATATGAAATAATTATCATGAACCGACTCAAGAAGTCGAGTCGAATAAAGGGTCACTGCAGATGAATTTCTAAGTCTCTTGTGTCGAATGTATGGGTAAACAGGTTCATGTTAAGTAAAGGAGAAGAGATATTTCTGCTTTAAAAACTGACCTCTTTGAAAACATAAGTTGAACAAAAAGCGGGAGAATAATATTTCACATGCACGCAAAACAGAGTATTCTACATAATTGAACTCTTCTATTGTCAAAATCTTAGGCTGAAAATTTCTAACTTTCATAATAATAATAATCATAATCATATCGTATTGTATCTGGAGAAACGAAGATCACCAGACAAAATGTCACTAGAGATACACTGTGCTTAAAAAGCTTTCATTTGAATAGTTTTGTATCACATCGGAAGGCTTTGAAACGCTAAAGTTTTGTTGTTTTGTGTTCGAAAACAAACCCTGGGCTGACGTTTAGGAGACAATAACCCCTTGTAAGGGGGGGGTGGGGGATACTTAACAAAGTTATATAAGGGGTCCGCCCTGAGGTTCAACCCCTGGCTCTTTTATAAAAAAGTTTTGACACAAAATGTACTCCTTTCGTATACCTTCTATTGTGAATTGGTACCCCCTTTCACATACCTAGTTTAGAACTGTGCATCCCTTTTAACTACTGTCAGGAGCTGTAAATGTCCTGTCTTTCAAATACGATTTCCCTCCCGTTCATATACTTCAACTAGTGAAATTCCTACCCTGTCATAAATCTGAATGAAAAAAATACCCCTTCCGGGTGGAGCCTCTCCGTATATGCCAGTCATAGGGAGTACCTCCCCCCCGGGCAATAACCGGAAAGCTGCGAGAACAGCATCTGGTCTCCCCCTCTCTCATGAGTTAACTCATCAGTGAAAAGGTGGTTTGTCTCAGTTTAAGCTGTTGGTCAAGTTCTGAATTCAGTTGTTCGTACTCAATAGTTTTGCATCAAAAACAAGCCAACGGGAATTGCCCGTGGCTGGGAGAAGCGTTTAGAAAACTAAGTAGTGGTCGCTTACGAGAGAATTTTTGAAACAGCATTGGACTGAGAAACAAAACCGGGTTTGTTTCAAAATGGTCGCTATGAGAGAGCAAACTCTACTCTAGACGAGTAGTCCCCATTTTTCCTCAGGGACAGTAGAGCGAGCGAAACGCGAGCGCGCGTGAAAATCACCCCACGCGAGAAAAGCGAGACGAGATGGCGAGAGAGAAAAAAGCGCGTCTCGCTTTTCTCGTGTGGGGTGATTTTCATACGCGCTCGCGTTTCGCTCGCTCTACTATCCCTGAGGAAAAATGGAGACTACTTGTAGTCTAACTGTGCACGGGAAAGCTTACTTACCATTCGACTTGAAGTCAACCAGAAAACGACTCTGTTAGGAACAGCTGAACTATTGTTATTACTAAAGTTTTGCCTCTCTACGGACTTACATGAGGACTCCATTGGGACCTTTACGAACTTGTAACGTTTTCGCGTTTTCGATCGCAGGGTAACTCTCCTAGCCGGGACAATTTTTGTCAGAGCATGCATAAGCGTTAAGTCGTTATCAGCTCTTGGTTTGGGTAAAGGCGCCAGCGCTTTTAGCACATAAACAATCGCTGTTGACTCGGCTGGGGGTGACCCTGTTTTCACGGGACAACTTTTCTCCATGGCTCGGCTGGGGGTGAACCTCTTTTCCGGAACAACGTTCCTCTATTTTTTTCTATATAAACAGGAGCCGAATCGTCTCCTGATGTAAAATAATGAAGCGCCTGCAGTGAATGTAGGCCGGGGACAGGCTCCGAAGTGGGGAGAAAAATCCAAAAAAAAAATTGGCGAGCAAAGCGAACCGAGCGGAAGTTTGGGGAGGGGAAAGGGTGGAGGTTGGCGGAGCTCCGCCTCCCTTTTCCCTCTCCAGTGCAGAGTACGGTTCGCTTCTCTCGCCGATTTTTTCGCTGTTTCACGTTTAATACCTCTTTCCCCAACAGCGGAGCCTGGTCCAGTCCCCAGGCTACAGTGAATGAAGTAAAAAAACAACCTTGCTCCACCTGATAATGCAAATATTCAGTACAGTTCTGACTTTATTGACTGGTAAATTAGAAATTTTACAATGATTTTATCTCATAGAGATGGAGTCCTCGTAAAATTGCTCAATATGGAGCAACAAAGAATATTACGTAAATTTTACAGATATCGATGCCAAAATTGTAAAAGGTCAGAAAACGTTGGCGATAACTCCAGCAATGTTTTAAACACATATTCGTATTTACTATAGATTTTACAGCTATCAAAACTAAGATTATTCTCCTCTCATACCAGAAAAACAACGTATGCAAATGAAACTATTTTCCTAATATAAAAAATACTATATACATTTTGTTTTGGACAAATTAAAGAAACCATGTCTGTCATTATGTACAGCTAAACGTTTTTAAATAATGTAACCAGCTGTGTAACCTCGTTCAGTTCCCTACACCCTGTACCCAAATTTTTTTACACTTCGTTTTGCACTTATACTATGAAAAACATGTACGAGTATTTTTCTAAGAAAGTAAGGGAATTGATCTTACATTTTCTTGTCTTGGCAGAACTTATTTCTTTAAGGATGACAAGTATTATGCATTTGATGATTATCTCGTTAAAGTGTTGGAAGACAGTAACAATCCTTACCCGCGAGATGTAGCTTCCTATTGGATGGGGTGTACTAACCCAGAGGTCAACATTGACCCGGCTGTTGGAGCAGCTTACGGAGTCCTATCAAATGTAATCGTCTTAATCACATGTTTCCTCGTCACATGGTTGTTTTAAAAATGACTGCTAAGCAAAACGAACCTTTAAACTAAAAGGGTTTTAAAGAATATTGAACACTTGTATAAAAGTTCGGATAAATTATAAGCGATTTCATGTACAGACAACTCAGCTTCAGATTGTAATAATTTATCTTTATTTAAATATTATTTATTGAGATGTACATATATATATGAAATAATTATCATGAACCGACTCAAGAAGTCGAGTCGAATAAAGGGTCACTGCAGATGAATTTCTAAGTCTCTTGTGTCGAATGTATGGGTAAACAGGTTCATGTTAAGTAAAGGAGAAGAGATATTTCTGCTTTAAAAACTGACCTCTTTGAAAACATAAGTTGAACAAAAAGCGGGAGAATAATATTTCACATGCACGCAAAACAGAGTATTCTACATAATTGAACTCTTCTATTGTCAAAATCTTAGGCTGAAAATTTCTAACTTTCATAATAATAATAATCATAATCATATCGTATTGTATCTGGAGAAACGAAGATCACCAGACAAAATGTCACTAGAGATACACTGTGCTTAAAAAGCTTTCATTTGAATAGTTTTGTATCACATCGGAAGGCTTTGAAACGCTAAAGTTTTGTTGTTTTGTGTTCGAAAACAAACCCTGGGCTGACGTTTAGGAGACAATAACCCCTTGTAAGGGGGGGGTGGGGGATACTTAACAAAGTTATATAAGGGGTCCGCCCTGAGGTTCAACCCCTGGCTCTTTTATAAAAAAGTTTTGACACAAAATGTACTCCTTTCGTATACCTTCTATTGTGAATTGGTACCCCCTTTCACATACCTAGTTTAGAACTGTGCATCCCTTTTAACTACTGTCAGGAGCTGTAAATGTCCTGTCTTTCAAATACGATTTCCCTCCCGTTCATATACTTCAACTAGTGAAATTCCTACCCTGTCATAAATCTGAATGAAAAAAATACCCCTTCCGGGTGGAGCCTCTCCGTATATGCCAGTCATAGGGAGTTATTGGATGGGGTGTACTAACCCAGAGGTCAACATTGACCCGGCTGTTGGAGCAGCTTACGGAGTCCTATCAAATGTAATCGTCTTAATCACATGTTTCCTCGTCACGTGGTTGTTTTAAAAATGACTGCTAAGCAAAACGAACCTTTAAACTAAAAGGGTTTTAAAGAATACTGAACACTTGTATAAAAGTTCGGATAAATTATAAGCGATTTCATGTACAGACAACTCAGCTTCAGATTTTAATAATTTATCTTTATTTAAATATTATTTATTGAGATGTACATATATATATATGAAATAATTATCATGAACCGACACAAGAAGTCGAGTCGAATAAACGGTCACTGAAGATGAATTTCTAAGTCTCTTGTGTCGAATGTATGGGTAAACAGGTTCATGTGGTGTCCCCAAATTAGTAAGGGATTCTTTTTTTCCCTGGCTAGACGGCTTTTGGCACTTTAATAAAGTTTCTATCTATCTATATCTATCTATCACGTTAAGTAAAGGAGAAGAGATATTTCTGCTTTAAAAACTGACCTCTTTAAAAACATAAGCTGAACAAAAAGCTGGACAATAATATTTCACATGCACGCAAAACAGAGTATTCTACATAATTGAACTCTTCTATTGTCAAAATCCTAGGCTGAAAATTTCTAACTTTCATGATAATAATCATAATCATATCGTATCTTGAGAAACGAAGATCACCAGACAAAATGTCACTAGAGATACACTGTGCTTAAAAAGCTTTCATTTGAATAGTTTTGTATCACATCGGAAGGCTTTGAAACGCTAAAGTTTTGTTGTTTTGTGTTTGAGAACAGACCCTGGGCTGGCTGACGTGTAGGAGACAATAGCCCCTTGTAAGGAGGGGGGATACTTAACCAAGTTTTATAAGGGGGTCCGCCCTGAGGTTCAACCCCTGGCTCTTTTATAAAAAAGTTTTGACAGAAAATGTACTCCTTTCGTATACCTCCTATTGTGAAACGGTACCCCCTTTCACATACCTAGTTTAGAACTGTGCATCCCTTTTAACTACTGTCAGGAGCTGTAAATGCCCTGTCTTTCAAATACGATTTCCCTCCCGTTCATATACTTCAACTAGTGAAATTCCTACCCTGTCATAAATCTGAATGAAAAAAATACCCCTTCCGGGTGGAGCCTCTCCGTATATGCCAGTCATAGGGAG